TCATAAAAAGGCCATGCGTGACCGGCCTAAAGCAGTTGTCCCTTGGACTCTGTGGTCACGCTCCCAGGTCTCCAAGATCTTCCTTTTCAGGTCCCTCAAGAAACAACCACGGTGTGGGCAGCCGGGAAGTGACAACCGCCCTCATACCCATAACAGCACGCGAGACCAAATTGGTCGAAATCAAATCCTTCCTACACCCACACATACCTCTCTTCTCTCCACAACTAACTGTACTCACATTCCCTTATCTGACTGCACTGCTAATGCAAATGATGCGAGTTCACGAAACGTCATTCCTGGTCTCTTGAAACCTCGTTCTAGTCTACATGTTGGAGCATTTAATGTACGGACATTGTGTCAAATAGGGCAACAGGCATCCTTAGCTAGGACTTTAGAATCTCGTGCCATCGATGTATGCTGCGTCTGGGAAACGCACATACAGGATCCTAGTAAAATTATTAATCTGATTTCACCTTGTCAAAATAAAGAAGCAGCTCGATTTACTCTTCGTGTATCCGGTAGCCCTGATGCTGCTTCCCGGGGTCTTGCTGGCGTAGGCATAGCATTGAGTCGTAGAGCTGAACAATCTCTCCTAGACTGGATCCCAGTAGATAGTCGCTTGTGCGCTGTCCGACTAAACGGTACAGTAAGGACTCGGAAGGATAGGGACAATTGCCGTTGCCTCTTCATCGTATCTGCCTATGCCCCCACTGACTGCAGTTCAGACGAGGTTAAAGATGAGTTTTACAGAAAGCTTTCGGACCTCCTCCAAAAAGCTAGGCGCTCTGATATAGTAATAATGGCTGGTGACTTTAATGCTCAAGTAGGTAGACTAAGTGAAAATGAAAGACACCTAGGCGGATGTTATGGTGTCGCGGCTCACAGAACAAACAATGGTGACCGTCTGTTGCAAGTATGCTCAGACAACCGCCTATTCTTAGCGAACACCAACTTCGGGCATAAGGAAAAGCATCTGTTGACCTGGCGACCTCCAAAGTCATCTCAACGTTGGACTCAACTAGATCATATCGCCATCAGCCACCGATGGAGGGGTTCGATAGAAGACTGTCGCTCGTTCTGGGGCACATGTTTGGATTCAGATCATGCCCTAGTGCGAGCGCGTATTTGTTTAAAGCATACTGGGCGTAGGAAAGACGCCGTAAGAAAGCCTCTTAGGGTTTTACTTAATGATAATAAGGCGAAGAATATATTTCAGGAACAACTAGAAAGACAGTTAGGCGACCATTTAAGCGATTCCCATCCGGAAGCAGGATGGAATGATATCAAAAAGGCTGTGGAAACAGCAGTTATATCTGCTAGTAAGGTTGACCATAAGGCTAGAATGAAACCGTGGATCTCAGTAGCATCCACCGATCTGATGGATGCCCGAAAACTCATCCCACCTGGCTCTAAACATGATGAAGAACGAAGTCAACTTAGGCGCAGACTTATAAAAAGTCTGCGTAACGATCGCGAACAGTGGTGGGTGGCGAAATCAAAAGCGATGGAAAAGGCAGCGGCGATAGGCAACAGTAGACAACTTTTCCGACTTATCAAGGAAACTGGTATTAGGAATCCTTGTGTAAGTGAGACTATCTCAGAAAGTGACGGGACTATTATTTATTCTCAATCCAGGAGACTGGATCGATGGGCAGAACACTTTAGGGATCAGTTCAACTGGCCTCGAGCCACTCTTCGGTTACCCACGATCTCCAGTCATCCTGAATGGCAAATCGACGTAAGTCCTCCTAGTCTTAATGAAGTTGAAAAAGCGTTAGGAAATCTGAAGCGAGGTCGAGCTGCAGGTCCTGATAGACTGACCCCTGAGATATTTAAGGATGGTGGTCCAGTTTTATCAACTAGGCTGACTGAGATCTTAGGTAGAATCTGGGAACTGGACGTGATCCCATCCGACTGGTCTCAATCACTGATTGTCCCAATCTATAAGAAAGGACAAAAGTCTTCTTGTGACAATCACAGGGGAATAAGTCTAACTAATATAGTATCTAAAATATTGGCCTCAATAATACTTCGACGCTTAACGAAAGCTCGTGAAGAGCAAACTCGAGAAAACCAGGCTGGTTTTCGACCTGGACGTGGTTGTATAGACCACATCTTCACACTACGACAGGTCCTGGAACATAGACACACATTTAGGCGTCCTACAATAGTTGTTTTCCTGGACCTTAAGGCGGCATTTGACTCTGTGAATCGTGAGGTTCTGTGGCAGTGTCTGTCATTGAAAGGTGTACCAAAGAAGTACATTAACCTTATACAAGCACTCTACTCGAACACCACTGGTCGGGTGAGAGCATATGGCGAACTGTCATCGGAATTCTCTACTTCAAGTGGTGTCCGTCAGGGATGTCCACTTTCTCCATTCTTGTTTAACTTTGTCGTAGATATGCTCCTAGAAATAACCTTATCCTCGTCTGAATTTTCAGGAGTAGACCTTCTACCAGGTGGCTCGCTTATTGACCTAGAATATGCCGATGACATAGTTCTATTCGGTGAAGACGCTGACAAAATGCAGAGTCTTCTGACTACCCTAAGCAACAATGCGAGCATGTTCGGGATGCGGTTTTCCCCCTCGAAATGCAAAATGTTGCTTCAAGACTGGGTTGCTTCGGCACCTGAACTAGTGATAGGGAGTGAAGTAGTTGAGCGTGTTTATCACTTCACTTATCTGGGGAGTCCCATCAGTGCTGATAGCCTGGTGACTGACGAAATCTCAGCTCGGATACAGAAAGCTCGATTGTCTTTTACCAACCTGCGTCACTTATGGCGTAGGCGTGATATCCGTTCGCTGACCAAAGGGCGGATGTACTGCGCAGCAGTTCGTTCCATTCTCTTATATGGCTGTGAAACATGGCCGTTAAGAGTAGAAGATGTTCGTAGGTTACTAGTATTCGATCATAGATGTTTAAGAAACATTGCTCGTATATCGTGGGACAACCGAGTGAGCAATGCTGTCGTTAGGAAACGAGTACTAGTTAAGGATAGCAGATCAATAGATGAAGTGGTGAAACTTCATCAGTTGAGGTGGTTAAGACATGTGTTACGAATGCCTAACCACCGACTGCCTCGACGTGCTATGTTTTGTGGTGTAGGAGTAGGTTGGAAGGAAGCTAGGGGCGGTCAGACCAAAACCTGGCAGAAATCCATGAAGTCATTGACTAGTGGACTGAGTCATGTTGGTAGATGTAGGCAACTTGCTTAGGGTCCGCGAGACGAAAGTCACCAATGGTTAGAGACCTTGAATGACATGGCTCAAAACCGTTTGTCATGGCGCAAGTGCATCCATTCTTTGAGCTCTCTCAAATCCTAATCTTCTGGAATCGTCAACACCTGTACCTTTGTCTTTCTAACCTTATCTCACTGAATTATACTTCTTGAATAATGTCTTGGAACCCTAGTCTTCTTCATTACCATTAATACCTCTACTATCTTTATCACTATGGGATTTGATTTGACAGTTGCGTTTCTGTCCCAATAATGTGGTATGGCAACATGAACTTATGTACATACGTACGAAGTTCTACGTTGCAACTGACTGACTGACTATAAAGAGAGAATTATAACAAATCACTTGTATTCAAATTAATATGTATTCTGAAAAGTTCGAAAATAATCCTATTTAAGTGACAGTATTCTTTTTCAAGTATATAACAGTTAATGACCTGAAACTGTGCTAATATGGTATGGCAACCTGAACGTATGTACATACGTACGAAGTTCTACGTTGTAACTGACTGACTGACCGCTCAATTCGATGGTGTATATCACTCATGTTAAGTAATCCCAGTGCTCACACCATATCAGCACAATGAGATGGTGGTGATGTCATCAAAATCAATTTATCTAAAAAGCAGTAAGTAGTAGCATTAGTAGTGATTGTTGAAAAATTAAACATACAGAAAATATAATTCTAAAAAGTAGAATCAATTAACAAAATGAAAAAAAAGTATCCAACAATTTTCAAGCTTAACATTTAAAGGTGTAGACAAAAAAGTTAATTCACTTGCAATAGTTCATTCAACTATTGAACTATTTCATTGAAATGTTTCACATAAATTTTCTTTCCTATTTTTTCTAGATGAGAATTTAAATTATACATACTTAAAACCGAAATTTGAATTCACTCACGTTTATGATGGCCTAATACCGTCGTCATCTGATGTAATTTCAAGCACGAACAAATCATTTTCAAAGTTTCGTTATAATTCTCAGTCAAATTTAAATTCTGTTGACAATGGTTTCAATGGTGTCAAGTCATCGGCATGTTATTCAATGCCAGGTTCACCTAATACTCATTCAAAATATCCTCATTTAATGGGACAGGGTGATTCAAGTGAATTAATTGAGGATTTTAATAATTACAACACAGATAATCCAATTGTTACCAATAGTATTAATAATAATAATAATAATAATAATAATAATAATCACACTCATACAGGACGATTTGAACGTTTACGTGATTTATTGGGCACATTTAAAAAAGAGAATCATTCAACTACACAACAGAATGATCACTACTTATATTTGGATGAAAAATCTTTAGAGCATAGAATACAATGTCAAGCATCAAATATAATTTTACCAGTATCTTTCTAATTCATTGTTTGTATAATTTGAAATGTTTTCTCTGATTATAACTATTTCTCTTTCTTTCTTACAGTGTCATTTATTATTATTATTATTATCATTTTTTAAAGAGCTTATATCTGATCTGCCTCTCATCTCTGTTTACATTCATCTTACTTTATTATGCGTGTAGAAATGCTGAATTATCTAGTGTGTATGGTTCTTCTTTTTTTTTCTTGTTAGAAAAAGAAATTTAATGTTTACCCAATTTGTAGACAAATAGATAGATAGCAATGACAAACAGTAAATTCTTTAAATTTTACTGGCTACTCTACTTGTGAATAGTTTACATGGTAACTCACTAAAATTAATCTGATCATGTTTGTTTGTTTGTTTTCTTCTCTTCTTTCCATTTCACCATTGTATTTATTGTGATCCATTGTCTGAGACCGTTTTTTCATATGTAGCTTCTTATTTTTTTGTCTTTTCGTTTTTTTTTCGCGTCTATCATTAGTGTTTAGTGAATTGGGAAGAGGTACACTTTCGTTTGTTTATTTTTGGGATCCCAATTCTAATCTGATGGGCACTACTTTCATTTTTTTTTTGTTTTTCGATCACCTTTTTTTTAACGAATACCGTATACTACTAACACATCAATCATACCATTGATATATTTCAAACACATCTATCTCATTATTGATTAATGTAGTTAGTTAGTTTAAGATAAATGGTTGTTATTTATGTTGACGTTTTTTTTTTAAAGAATTTCGTACAATTGAACAATAGCATTTTATACTTGACTGATCAGTAAGTAGTGATCGATGTCATATATTTGCCTGATTCTTCAGTGTTGATTGAATTCCATCGATCGAAATGCAGTGTAGCCACCACTCTAAATAATTTGTACGTGGAATTTATTGTTAAGTTAATATGTTGTAGATAGTTGACAGGGAACCATGAACCTAGGGTTCATACTAGTTAGCACTAGTTGGCAGGGTGTACCTATATTCGTTAGGGAATTGATACTCCCTATAGGATTTGAATTCAAGTTGACATGTGTTGCGTATGCCTAACCACCGACTGCCTCGACGAGCTTTGTTTTGCAGTGTAGGAGTAGGTTTGAAGAAAGCTAGGGGCGGCCAAATCAAAACATGGCACAACTGATAAGTTTGTTTGGTGACTATGATAAAGGCAAAGAGGTTTAACAGAATAGTATTATACACAAAAGGAGTTGAAAGTTTATGAAAATTCTACAATCTGCATGAATTTGGTTATGCTAATAAACCAGTAATCATAAAACGTTCTACAATAGGAGATATATGAATAATCATTTTCAGTAAACGTATAGCATAGAAGAAAGAAGGAATGTGTAAATAGTAGGCGGAATTGGCTTTTTCGTCCTTCAAATTTGCTGTTTACGTAAAACAAAACACAACGAATTTCTGATCAACAAATAATTCAGACTTCACAACTAAAAGAAAAACCAATTACCATCAAGTAACGGGTTAAGGTATCTGAGTAAAAATTTCAAATCCATACCTCGGCTTCTTGTATTTTTTTTATCTCTATAACTTGGTATCGGGACTGTTAACTAATAATGCCATATGTTTTTCAAAATAGTCCTAGAATGAGTACATTCTTGTTGTACTCACTCTGAACTGAGATGTCCGTCTGTTCATCATATCGGTTTTTATAGCACTGTAAATTTGTCGAAGGCTTACTAGAAGAATTATTTGTTATTAGTCAGTTGTATAGAAAACATAATTGTAAGTAAATTCTTTTGTTACATAGCTTATTCATCATTTCTTAAAGTCTACAAACTTTGATGCGTTTGCAGTAACATATTTTACCGAAGGATATTCTGATTATTCTGTATTGCTTTGAATATTCTGGCATATTTATTTAAAATTGATTTTGTAATTGGACATTTACTAATACTAATTAATCAACTTTTAATTGCAGGTAAGAATGATTGAATTATCATAATACTAATTTGTTGAATGAAATCATGCTATCGCTGGTATTGATAGAACTGACTTCGTTAAAATCATATGACCAATATTCTTAAAAAATCTAATGACACCATTATGATAATAATTATTGTAGTGTCCTTGACCTAACAAAAATGTATTCGTGACTTCATCCCTTCTGATACCAATAAAACTTTATCTATCATACACGAACTACTAACAGTAGTTGCACAAAATTTCGTAAAACTGGAGTTTCATTATGCTTAACTTTTTCAAGAGTTTTCATTGTTAATAGAATCTGTATTATTCAATTATTACGACCTGTAAGTCCTATAACAAATAGCTTTCATGTTTAAATGATAATATTTTTCAATGATGTGTGATTGCATTTTTGCACTGGTAGTTGACTCAACTTCAGACAGTGCGTGAATATTCACTTCTTATTTAATTCCAATAAAATGGTACATTATTTTGAAGGCTTTATCAGACATCTTGTTTTTGGATATAAGTGCCTGAATATGAAGCGGACAATTTCCAAGGATTGTAGCTTATGAAACTATGTTTTAAGAATTATTTACCTACTCCTGTTACCCCCCAATGGAGCATAGGCAACCGATCAGCATTCTCCAACCTACTCTGTCCTGGACCTCCCTTTTCCAGTTCTGTTCAATTTTTATTCATTCGTTTCATGTCTATCTCCAATACTTGGCGTAATGTATTTTTCGGTCTTCCTCTTCACCTTTAGCCTTGAGAATTCCAAGTGAGGAATTGTCCTTTGACGCAGTTGGGTGCTTTCCTCAATGTATGTCCTACCCACTTCCAGCGCTTTTTACTCTGCTGAAATCTGGTTTATCCCATCATACAGCAGGTTATTGCTGATGGTGTCTAGCCAATGGATCCGAAGTTTATTTCATAGACAACTGTACTTGTATCTTCCGGATGATGACTTTCATAGCTATCCAAGTTTCCGTCCCATATATAGTAACACTATTCTGATATTTGTATTGAAAATGGTGACTTCGGTGTTTGTTGATAGTTGTTTTGAGTTGAAGACGTTCTTAAATTGTAGAAATGCTGCCATCGCTTTGCTGATCCGTGCCTTCCTATTTGTATCAGATCCACCTTGGTCATCAATTATGCTGCCCAGATATGTAAAGGTTTCTATAACTTCTGTAGCTTCTCCGTCAAGCGCAATTTGGTTGGTATGTGTTGTGTCACATCTAAGGATGTCACTTTTCCCTTTTGTGTAAGTTGAGACCTACGGCTGTGTAGACCACTCCTACACTGGCCGTCAACTCTAGCCGTTTTTTTGTTGTATGTGGAACAGAAGGGCCTGATCGTCCAGCTACATCCGAGCTGTCCACTGTATTCCTTGATATCTCTGACATGTCGACGTCTTCATAATTCGGTCGACCACTAGCAGAAAGAGGAATGGTGCTTGTATGCAACCTTGCCTGACACCACTCTTCAGTTGAAACGAGTCTGTGAGCTGTCCTCCATGCTTGATTCTGCAGTTTAGTCCATTGTATGGATTTTGTATGATGTTGACTTTGTTCTCAGGCACGCCGTAATGTTTGTGAAGCCTCCATGGGGTCTTCTTCTCCTTGCTGTCTAATGCTTTCTCACAGTCAATGGAGTTGAAGTGGTGAGTTCCATCCAATTGATTAATCCACAACGATCCTGATATGCTCGTCACTTGATATGCTTGAAACAATTACGAGTTTACCTCTGTCGGTCAACGTAAGCGAAGACAAATGATCCAATGACAGGAGATGTTACTCTAACCCGAGCGGTCGGTTCTTGCTCTTTCTCCTAAATCTTTCTGAAGATAATGTAGAGTATCTTTGGAGTTACTGTTATGTCTGCTTCCAGTGGCTCAGTTGGAATGTTGTCTGTTCCTGCTGTTTTGCCACTCTTGATTTGTTTGATGGCTATTCTGATTTCTTCTGTTGTTGGTGGGTATATTGTAATAATACCGCTTTAAAATATAATTCAGTCCCTGTTGTTGCAACACATTAAATCTCTTTGCTCAAAGGAGATTAAAATATCTTAATTAAACTGTTGGTGGTTGATCGATCACATACATGAAAAAATATACGAAATGATAAATGTAGATGTAGCTATAGAAATAGTAGCTAATGTTCAACTGGATACCTAACTGATGGTCAAAGCATTCTTTACAAGAGTTCACAACTGAGGTTAGGGCTTGTGTTTAGTCTTCAAGAAGCGTTAGTTGGAGATGAATTTTTATTCTTAGTCATTGTGTTATTTATTTGAAAAATTTCAGTGCAGGGTTTAGATTTAGATAGATCATTTGACTTTCTTCCTATTAGGATATAATTTAATTTTTATTCTTCAAATGGTTCGCTTATAAATATTAGTTCGGAAATATTTAGCGCTTCTTTTAAGCTTTCAAAATTCCATACTGTTTCATTCATTTATTTTAGCCGGTAAAATCCAAATTACACAAGATTATTACGCAAAACTAAACTAGTACAGCAAACTTATTTAGAATATTATATAGTTGAATGTTTGTAATGATGGTTTTTTATTTTCGTCCTATGATCATCATAATTTTGTTTGAATATTCAAATATTTTCAAACAATAATCATCATTTATGTCACAAGCTAGTGTTATATTATTCTACTATTTTAGTTTTAATAATATGCCATAGAACTTCACGCTATACTTTGGACATATCTTTCGAATGAACAAACCGACAACAAATCAAAAGATGAATTTTCTACCGAAATTCCTTATAAATAAATCATTTCATAGAATGGTAGAAGTTTCATTTCATTGAACTTTACTATTTTTGATTTCGATATCTGATTTTTCATCAAAAAAATGAAGAAAAATGTGCATGGTAGATTCATGGTAGTGTAATAATCTATAACTGATTTTTAATTGTCGCACATTCTGTCAGTATAAAGTAAAATACGAATAAAGTGTCTTGAATATGTTAAAGTTAATGTGCAACTGTATGTTCATTTTTTTTTAACTGGTAAGAAATATTTTAACTGAAAATGAAACGATAACAATTGTTATTTACTCAAGAAGTAGATTGATTAGCTTCGAAAATTATTAAGAATTGTGATTTTTATGAAAAAAAAACAAAACATAAAGAAATGAATATCACCGAGATTCAAAGATCTCGATTTATCTATAGTTTTCAATGAATTGATCTTTTTAATTAAACAGGATTACAATGTTTCAGTAAATGATCACTGTCATCGCTTGGTTGTTGAATAATTAACAATTATTCTACTGTTTAAATTTGTTATCTGTTCATTATAAAATAATCTGAATTGTATAATATTTCAGTTGGTTGTATTTCAGAAACATTCAAACGAAACATGCATGTCAATCAATTTCTTGAATTTACCATCAACTTATTAGATACGTTTGGTATGGTTGATTTGTCGGTTAACTAATTAACCAGTAGTTCATGAGGATAAGAATACCATTGTCAAGAAAATTATCATCATGTATGGTATTATCTCTATTTTTAATAGGTATGAAGTACAATGTTTTCATTGTTAACAGTGATTGATAATGACTGATTTCTCAATACTTATGAGAAAATTTAAATACTCCAAATATTACATTGACAAATGTTACACTAGTTTGTTTTACTAACTAGGCCATGAAAAAATTGTTTACTCGCATTTGTAACTATTTGAAACCGAGAAGTTATCAAATCTTAAAATTCTCAAATCAATGTAAATACGAATACGTTTAATCAGATTGTGATTCATTGTTTCAACTTG